TAAGGATTAAAGCTCGACACCAATGGTTTTATAACTCTTAGTAAACATTCAGATAATATGGTTAAGTATTAAAGGTATTGTGCAAATTACAGCTAAATGTTTTTTTTAAAAAACACGTATTAAAACTGTACCATACAATGAGTGAAAGAGGTCATTTAGTATTTACAGAATTGAACCCCGTAATATCTAAACAGCTATTTTAACCAAGATACAAATGTGCCTTATGTAATACAAAAATTGTAACATACAAAAAATATCCTTCAAGGTTTATTCTTAAAATTATGTTACGTTACTCTTACAATTTACCTTATTTTATTTACATTGGCCAAACCAAAAATATATCTGAACAACAAATGCAATATATACTTAACCAATAACAAAAAGTAATGACTAGCCCTAACTGATTTTTATTATCCTGATTAACCCTTAAGAAGGGATAGGTTTTTGTCACTTCTTGGCCAACAGCCCAAATACCAAATTAAAATACCTGATTTTCTCATTAACACCAACACAGATCTGTTTAATCAACAGATAAGCATGCATTGTTCTTAACACCAACACAGATCTGTTTAATCAACATATGAGCATGCATTGTTCTTAACACTAACACAGATCTCTTTAATCAACATCTTAACACCAACACAGATCTGTTTAATCAACAGATAAACATGCATTGTTCTTAACACCAACACAGATCTGTTTAATCAACAGATAAGCATGCATTGTTCTTAACACCAACACAGATTTGTTTAATCAACAGATGAGCATGCATTGTTCTTAACACTAACACAGATCTCTTTAATCAACATCTTAACACCAACACACATCTGTTTAATCAACAGATAAACATGCATTGTTCTTAACACTAACACAGATCTGTTTAATCAACAGATAAACATGCATTGTTCTTAACACCAACACAGATCTGTTTAATCAACAGATAAACATGAATTAACACCAACACACAGCTGTTTAATCAACAGATAAACATGCATTGTTCTTAACACCAACACAGATCTGTTTAATCAACAGATAAACATGAATTAACACCAACACACAGCTGTTTAATCAACAGATAAGTATGCATTGTTCTTAACACCAACACGGATCTGCTTTCCATTCACACCCAATACCTATAAATAAATGTGGCATTACTCTTTCAGGGTTCAGATATCACATCATTTTAAGTTGTAGGTATCTTCCTACAAACCTTTAGTGGTGCCATCTGTCAACAACAAACTTAAAACTATATAGTAACTAACAACATAATAAATGGAACACTACTAGAAAATAATAAAAAACAGATTGCTATTGACGAAACACCAACAAACACACAACATATGGTGTATTTAAACTCTTTAAAAAAACTATTTGATCCCAAAACATTTGTTTAAATTATTGTAAAAACATAAAGTAACTTTAAACCAAAGTTTACATTCTAAGAACACACTATAGATACTTGAGATAAATGTTCACATCATTCTTTTAATTATATTTAACTTCCACCTATACCCATGAATATATAAACTGTTGAATACCAAGCCCTATATATTTACTTTATCTTTCAAAGTATAAGTGATCACAATAGAAATGAAAAAAGTTTGTAAGTTAAAGACAAAGGTGTCACGAAAAGTGTCCACATTTATAAATAACAATTATACCACGAGGTTATATTATCAAATAGAGAAATCTGTGTTTCAATAACAACACATACATCATCCAAACAATGGTAAGAAAAAGATTATTTAGAAAAGGGCCAGCTTTACAGAAGAAAGCTGGGAGGATTAAAAATGGAATTAGAAATTCTTAGCTGCACAAATAGATTTGTGTGTTTAAGGTACTTTTACGGATAACACGTACAGAGTGTGTATGCAAAAATCAAAACAGGAATTTTAACCTTTCCACGAAGTAGTCTTTAGCTGGCTCATAGTACTCTCGTCTCAAGACAATTAGTTCCGGCAGCTTGCGTGCATCACTAAAAAGAGGCGAGTCTGACTCCATGACGACGACGAGCAAGCACCAAAAAATCAAGAGTACAAAAAGGGAGGCCAGAATGGTTACTCGCACTATATTCACTGGACGAGAAAGAAATGGTCGAGATCTTGCATGGTTTTTTTTGCTTAGGAATATTAAGATCGAGTTCAAAGTTCTTTCCAGTATGTCGTGATTCAGAGGTCGAGACTTCAACAGGGGATTCATTGTGAAGCTCCTGCTCAAGTTCTTCAGTAATCTGTGGAGTTGAGGCTCGCAGAGGAGGTAAGGATACTTCCAGTTCAGCGGGGTGAGTGTCCTCAACAAGGTCTTCCAGTTCCTCTGCTATGTGGTTCTCTAGCCGTTTAATCTGTTGCTCCTCCCCCTCTTCCAGTGGAAGAATAGGGGCTTCTTCATGTTCTGGAAGAGTCAAGTCACTCAAACTGCCAGTCATCTGTGTGGACCTATTAGTGTACTTCAGGCTGGATGAGTCCGTGGATGTGATAGAGTCCACATTTTCTGTTGCTGGAGCCGAATGGTTCATGTAGTGAAGGTTAGAAAAATCTGGAATGGTTAAAAAAAGAGAAATGGGTCTTTCTTTAACAATCTTGATTAATATGTCCTCTAATTTATTTATCACTACTCTTTGAATTTAATGTCAATTACTCATTACCTGCTTTAACCATTCGCACCACTATACAGTAGTGTGTTGTTAGTCAGTCAGTATACACTAAAATGACGTCAGTAAAATGTGCACATACCATGAATCATGACAAGAATTATTCACTCTGTTGGCTACAACATATGAACTTCAAAATCAAGAAATAAAAATATTCATTACTCTTAATTTTGGTCTTATTTAATCTTGAAACAGAACACTCGAGGACCCTGTGGAAGTACACAGCGTGGACACAAGTAAATAGACACCACCTTTTCAGAAAAAATGAAATTTTTCAGTCATATTCACATGAACTGATATATTTATAATTTAATTAATATCCAGTAGATGTTCCTTTCGCTTCGTGGAGTTCGTTGATCCTTTGGGGCATCGTGAGAATTATCTCGTCAATTTTAGATTGTGGGATTTTCGCCCACTCTTGCTTCAGAACTTGGAGTAGATCGCTCTTGGTTTTTTGGTTGTTTCTTGACTTGCCGGTCGAATATGGCCCAGAGGTTTTCGATGGGGTTCATGTCATGAGATTGACTCGGCCAGAGCAACTTTTGGATACCATTTTCTTCCTGC